AATCACTTTTTTTGTGTATAGAAAACAATGGGGAAAAATTAATTTTGTTTGTATGATAAAATACAAATAGAACAGAGAAAAGATAAAAAGCATATAAAAACAATTCTTTGACATAAAAAAGAAAAGAAAAGAAAACTATATTTAACTTATTTTAATAAATGCCTAAGAAAATTAAGAGAGATTCTGAAAATGCAATTTGTAACTCTCCTATCATATATATATATCCCTCTCTTGTGGCTATGACGGAAAGGCATGGAACATTATGCAGAAAAAGATACATTGAGAAATTCCATCTTCAATAGACTACCAAAATTGACCCAAAGGTCCATTAAGTGATCAAAATCTAAAAGTAAGATTATCTAAAATCTAAATAACTTTGGCCTTAAAGTTAATTTTCTCGCTTCCCACTTAAATTTGAAAGGTTGGTTGCAAATTATTTTTTAACAAGTTACAATTTTTTTTAAAAAATCTCACGTTGGCAGCCATATTTGAACTTATATTCTTATAGAAAGTAGACTAACTCCTTACTAGTTGGATCACCTTAATTTGTTGACCTTGATCACCTACTAGAGGCAGACAGAACTGATGTTCATGATGTTGTCTGATTTTGATTTTTTTTTTTTATGTTTTCTTGTTGTTTGATTTTGTTTGTTTCAAGCTGACTATTTTGGGACTTGTGTTTATGGCCCATCAACATGAATGGTTATTTCTGTGGGGAACAAAATGAGAGCCAACATGTTATTTCCCCAAAATTTTATGTTATAACCGCAAACCATCAAGCCTTTTCACTATCGTCCATCTTTGGTCATTCTTCAAGCTTTCACTACAATTGCTTTATTTCGTCAATAATCTAAATAAATATGCATTTATTTTACGCCTATATAATGAGAAAACATTTTGGTTTTAAATACTTTATAAGTCGTGAGTGATTATAAAATTTTGTAAAAACGGCCATAAAATCCCTCCTCCAATGTCTTACAAATATAAGTGGAGGAGTCAAATTTTAAAAAATGTCATAATGGTTATCTTATTTTCCTATGCTGATGCATAATTTCAAAGTCTAAGTCAATTCATATGCGTAGAGAAAATGGCACAATAATAGTAGAGGAATAAAAGTAGTTTTATGTATATTTAAGTCATTCCATTCTGAACATTAAGATCACGTAGAAAAGAAGTCTTGGCTCTTCTCAACCCGTTGTTAAAGCAAACAAGAAAAAGAAGCTATTGATGGTGACCATTAATCTTTTTAGTTAGTGTCCACATTTTCTTTGGTCAAGCCAGCTCAAGTTCGTAATTATCTCTTAGAAATTGAATAGCCGGGGCATTATTTTTGCAATGTTCAAATATTTAAAATATGATTTTATAAACGGAGTGAAGTGTTAGGTACAAAGATATAACCATTGATGATGATGATGATGATTAATTTTCAAATTTCTATGCATGTGTGCATGTATATATTAAGCAATGCAAGCACTTTATTCTATTTTTACCATCTAAGCTATCTTAAGATAAAATATATTAATGTTAGGAAGGAAGGAAGATAATGAATTTCTTGAGGCCAAGCATGCGTGCAGTAAAATTATGAACCAATTCATACAATTCCAGTTGGCGTGTTTCTTGAATGACGATGAACAACTTCTCGTGGCTTATTGATGGGGGAAAAAAAATATCATCATTTTTTATTCATGCTAATTTATTTCCATGCTAAGTCAACTTATAAATCCATGACGTAAAAAGAGTTGCGCAATGGTCGGTAATGGAGACTTTGTTTTATTATTATATGTTAAAAATTCATATTTATAATTGTACTTTATTATTAGGGAAAGAACAAATATGATTTCACATATAAATTAATAAAAAATAAATTTAAAATTATTACGGATGCATCTGTTCTACCGTGTTTTTACTAGTGTTTCCAATAATATTGCTTGTTAAAATTGCAAAATTCATTGTTGAGAAATTTCAAAGTCATTCTATAACTCATTGATGTGACGGAAAAAAAAAACATATCCATGGCGCTAATATAATGGCAAAATAAAAGTCCTTGGTTGAACCGTCCATAATTTCCATTAAAGAACTCACTTACGCACACACATGGTTGTATATTGTTAAGGAGTAAACTAGATGTTATTTCGCATTTACATTAAGAAAAAATAATTCAAAAGTTATTACTAACTTATATGTTCAATTTTTTTGGGGCCAAATTACTAAATTAATACCTTACGTAATTCTACAACATATACTTTATTATATGATCAAAATTTTCAGAAATCACCAAGCTAGGTCTAAATATTTAAGCACATATTATTTTTTTAAATTAAATAGATGGATATTAATTTGAATTTAGATCCACACACTCTATTATTATATCGTAATCTCATTTTTCTATTGGCTTTGAGGAAATAATTTTGTGGGAATTGTTTGGGTGTTCGTCACTCTCGTGTCGGATACGCATAGTGTTAAAACCAATGGCTAGGATTGCTCCACGTATGTCAAGATTCTATAATTGAGGAAATTTCCTAAACATTTATTGACGCATTGATGTGGTCCTATAAAAGAAATTTCATCTTATTTCCCTAGACTCACGATTGAACGCAAGTCAACTTGAATGTCTTTAAAGTAGAGAATGGGGCACAATAATTCCAGTCTTACTTAAAAATACTTTTTAAATTTCTTATTCATCTTATTCTTTAATTTCTCTTTCTCTTCATTTCTATTTCCTTTTTTTCTGCTTTTTTGTACAAAAAGTGAAAAACTGTACAATAAGAAATATAGTAAGGAGTATATTGAAAAAAAAAAGACACAACATTGGAGATTTTTTTTTTGGCCAACTAATATATAAAGCAGATCCTACTCAATATGGGTATTTATAAAATATTTTTAACACATTTCATTAAAAAAATTTAAATTCATTAGGTTTATTCAAAGATTTAATAAAATTTTTAATTTTTTTATAATCAGAGGAACATCTAAGTAATTTTTATTTTCACTCTACCAAATATACATATTTTAATAATATATTAACAAACACCAATATTTAAATAGAGTTTCTTATAAGAAAAATTCACATGTTTTATAATTAAAATAAACAAAAATTTCTTTCTCTACTGGTAGCCTACATTAATTATAAATGTGATTAGAATAATAATATTAGAAATTGAATATTTTCTAAATTATTTTAGCCAAATTCAAACATTTAAAATATGATTTTTTAAACGGAGTAAAATAAGCGTTATTTTTTAACAAGAGTTTTATGCGTTACAACCTAAAAATTTATTTGACCAAAATCTTATTTATGTCTATAACCTTAAATAACAAGAGTTTTAGAAAGAAGGAAGCAATAATTTTGAAAAAATTATTTTTAAAAAATTTAACTTGAAAATTATATCACATAATTTCTACACTATATAAAAGAGGTAAAGTAATTTTTATTAATTAAAATGAAAAGTAAGATACTAATAGATATAACTTCAACGTTTTATGCATAGTTCTTTATTTAATAAATTTTATATTTAATATATTTTAATAAATATTCAAATTAATCTAATAAAAATATTAATATTTATCTTAATTACAAATTTTGGTCCCACTAATTAATTATTTCAGGCTTATCACCGAGGTCGGATATTAAAATCTGAGTTGTGTTCGTGTTAGACTCAAAATCATTTGTCATTAAACCTAATTTTATAACTAGAAAGTATGTGCTCATTTAGTAATTCAAGTCATTTCATTGACAGCAAACTAAAGGTTCTGTCTTTTTTTTTTTTTTTTGTCTCCACACACACAGAAAAAAAAAAGGTTCTATCTTTGGACTAGTGGCACAATAATACAAGCTTGTTCGTTGGACCAGCTGCACAATAAGTCAATAATATTTTTTGTTTATTTCTGTCAATTCATTTTGAAAATTAAGGGTTGCGTAGAGGAAACGGCACAATTCTATATTTCACAATTTATAATAAAGAGAGTAAAATATTGTATATAAGAGAGATATTTTAAATAAATGATGCATTTAATAATATTGTTAAATTGAGAAATTTTAATTTTTATTACATCTTCTTTATTAGGATGTGATGTTAAAAAATGAATTATATAAATAAATAAGATTAAAGCAGTGTCGTCTTGGCTATTTTCAACTTATTATTGAAGCTAACAAGAAAATGAAGCCATTAATTGTGACAATAATTTTTGGGTTGGTATCCTTATTTTCATTGGTCAAGCCAACTCATACTCATATCTTTGGCCAAACTAATGGATATTATGCAGTAGTTTCTATTACGTTTAAAATTAAATTGTCGGCACATTATTTTTGCCAATTCAAATATTTAAAACACTCCTATGATTTAAAAATAAGTGTTTTAAATTATTTTTAAATAATCTCATTAAAAATTATTTTCCACTTTCAATGCATGGTGCAAGTATTGAGCCTATAATTAAAACTATTGGAGCTCTAAAAATTAGAAAAACGCCTACACTATAAGTGGATAGTTGGGGATTTGAATCCTAACTCTTATGTGTGTTGCAATTTAATTCACAAAAGTCTATCGTTTGCTCTAAATACCCTTATAATTGCCAAAACAGAAAAATGCCCAGTTTATTTAGAACTCATAGATGTGGGTAGTAAAAAGAATAAATAAATATTATTATATATTGTAAATCATTTGCAAAACAAAGGTTAATTTCCTTTGCTTTTTTTTTTTTCCTTTTTGTGAGAACTTTGCATCGTATTTGGGAATTCTCCCTTGAAAATTCTATCGTACCATTTCATCACAATTCTCATACATTAACAATAAAGGGAGCGATTTAAAAAAATTATAATCTGAAAAGAATTGAAGGGTCTTTTTCAATTGTGCTCTACGTAAAAAAATATTATATTTAATTGCAAGGCATTAAAAAGTTGTCCTTCTATTTATTCAAAAAAGAGGTTGTCCTTATCAACGTTGTTGCATATTTATAGAAAGGCCTTCTCCTCTTTCTTCTTCAACCTAAGAATCCCATACACCATGGCGAACCTTTGTTTCCATTTCTCCTTCTCCATGTTCTTATTGCTTTGTCTCATGATTCACCCCACTTGTTGTCATACCAATTTCAGTACTGATGAATTGGCACTTCGTGCCTTTAGATTTTCTGTGAGAGACCCTTATAATCACTTGGATGATTGGACCAACTCTTCTTCCATCTGCAATTGGTTAGGGGTTACATGTGATTATAATTATGGGACAGTGAGGATCCTGGATCTTAGTGAAATGAGTCTTAAGGGAACCTTACCCTCACAAATTGGAAATCTATCTTTCCTTGTGAAGCTCGACCTTCACAGCAACAACTTTTATGGTGAGTTGCCAAAAGAGTTATTCCAACTACGCAAGTTGAAAATTCTCAACTTGAGCTATAATGCATTCAATGGAGTAATCCCAACTTGGATCGGAAGCTTGTCTGCACTTCAACACTTGATTCTCAACAACAATAGTTTTGATGGTGTTATTCCTTCAAGTATATCCAATTTGTCAAAGTTGGAGAGCTTGGAATGCAGATCCAATTTTATAAAAGGTTCCATTCCATTTGAAATTGTAAGACTTGGGAGATTGAAGATTTTGCGCATTTCAGTAAACAACCTTTCAGGAATAATACCTTCAGCTGTTTCTAATTTATCCTCACTTGAGCATATCATTTTATCTTACAACTTTTTATCAGGTATGTCTAGAATATCTGTGATATAACTATTATATATATATATATATATATGGTATATCTTTCACCGAACTATATGATGGGTATAAATTAATTAGACGTTCATTAAAAGGCTTTCAAAGTGGAGTTTTCTTATGCCTTCAATTAAACTATTTACTGTCTATCCCACAGAAATCACATTACAATTTTGACTAATCTTAATATTTGTATTACTCTATAAGTGTAATTAATCAACTGAACTGAATTGACAACTGTTCTCACGTAAGAATTTTGCAGATGGCATGAAACAAATATTTTCAAAAGATAATTATATTTTCAGGCTGTTTTCATTTGAACCAAGGCTGGAGTCAAAATCAAGGAGGGCAAGAAATTTTATTAGAAATAGATGATGTATATTAATGTAAAACTTAAAAAATACAAATATATAAAGATAAAATATATTAACTTTAGAAAATTCCTTCAATAAAAAATTGTGAAGAATACAAAAAATTCACATTTTAATGATTCAGGAATGGTAGTGATTCAATTTCAACAAAGTTAATAATTTATTCATATTTTTATATAGTATTATATATGTTATGCATCATTTTCGCTGGATTTTGTATATATTATAATTATTGTTAGTAACTCTAAATTTTTTTACTTAATATACTTTTACTAATCAAATCAAGACACATAGACTTTAATGTATTAATAATAAGAATTTTTTATGCTAAATAATATATATATATATATATATATATAAGATACAAATGTCTTGATTTAGCTAGAAACAAACTACTTTAATATATAACGCTAAGTATATAAATTTTTCCTACTTTTTATGCGTTAGTTTTCATTAAAATTTTGTGTTTTGATACATATATATATATATTGTTAGAAACTTTTTCAAATTATTTATGATTATGACTCATTTAATTTTTAGAGTAAAATATATTCATTTATCTTTAATTTTATTAATATTATTGAACCCACCCAATAATTTTCTAGATATACACTTTAATTTAATCTTAAACTTTTTGAAAATAGTTTGTTATTCTAAAATACTTTTTGTTGATTAAACAGGTGCACCATAGCAATTTCCATCACCTTTTCATTGAATAACGCAGGCAAACGCACCACATAATGATGCACTTTCTACTTTTACCTAATCATTTATGCAGCATAAAAAAATAAGTACAATTTGAAAATTGGTCTATTTAATTTGAGCAAAAGAATTTTTTCGTTGAATAATAATTGGTTGATAATTAACATTGTGTAGACCTCAAATTAGCAGCTACGTATCAAAAAAGATTGTTTGATTTAAGAGATTTATTATTTTCTCATTTTTAAAAACAAATTAGGAGTTATTATATCCTGATCACAATAACTTCAAAAGAATGCATTCATAAAATTATATTTGTTACTTATTTTTCTTTTTTATCATAATCATTTTGTACAAGCACTCATAATGATGTGGTTTTCTCATTATCATGTTGTAGGGAATATTCTTGAAACAATTGGTGCTCTCACAAACCTGAAAATAATAAGCCTAAGTGTTAACAAGTTGTCTGGCCAAATACCAAGAAGTATTGGAAACTTAACTTTGCTTCAAGAATTATATCTCGATCACAATAACTTAGAAGGTACACTTTCAACCAATCATAGTGTATAACTTTTCATCAATTTTATGTTATTTTTGTGTGTTATTTTTGGTCACATGTGTGTCCCTCAATTGCATCCGCATGATGTTGTTTAGAAATATTATTCTATTTACCTCTTTTTTGGGCTAAAAACCAAAGGCGAGCATACAATATTGTTAATGATTATGTGAAGATTTGTATTTCCAACTCCATGTCCTCTAAACAGGTATTCGAATTATCAAAGTATACTTCCTTTTTTCAAATTAACTTCCTTTGAGAAAATTAATATTTGATGCTGGTTATTTTTCAATTATATGTCGGAAATAATAAATTTTTTAATTTGAGTATGGTAAAATAATCAAATGTTCTTTACAATGCTCTTTTAACTATAGCTACATAATTTTTTTCACCTCACATGCTTGTTTTATAGAATTCCTTTGATAGTTACGTTGAAAACACATAAAACTATTCAAACAATTGCTTAGTATGTGTTTGGGTAGCTCATTAATCGATTATGTGAGGGGAAAAAATTGATTTTGCAATTAATTACCCAAACGGCAATTTTTCCAAAAAATGATTTTTTCAAAAAATTGATTTTTCTGCAAAGCTATGGGAAGCAGCTTTTTGCGTTCAGATTACAAAGACATATGGGGACAATTACAAAGAAGGCCTAAAAAATTATAAAAGAGGCATGGAATTTAATAAAAATAAAATCAAACTCTCTCTCTTCTTTTTTGTTTTAGTAAAATTCAAACTTTGAATCTTCAAAAAAGTTACTAGTATAGGTTTTTTGTCAACCACCACTCTCCATTGAACACTTGCTATAAAATTAATTTAAATAAAATATTAATTGGTAGAGAAAAAATAATTTAATTTAATTTAAAATTGATGGTCATTACAAAGATTATTGTAAAGGTCCACACACACACACACAGATTTTGCATCATTTGTTATATTACTACATTTTTTATGTTGTCAAAATTTCTAAATAATGCTTAATATCTTTGTTAGATATAGCTTATATTTGTGATGTCATTAGATATCAACTTGTATATTATCATCTTCAATAGTTATTGTAAAATTGATGTTTGGTATTTAAGAATAAAATCTTTCTCTTTTATAAAATTTATTTGAATTAAGATATATTGAGTTATTTATTTATGTAAATTAAAATTGTTAATATTAATATAATTCAAATTTTTATAGTTAATCAGATATATAATTTAAATAATATATTTTAATTTTTAAATATTATATACAAATTTATCAATAATTTATTTTTGAAAGGCAATGTCATTGATGGTAATTTGTGCTGCTAAAATTGATTCTGAATAAATTATCCAAATATCTTCAATTTTGTTAAAATTAATTTTAAAAAAATAGTATCCAGATATATTGGATTATAATATAATCAATTATGTTTAAAATATATCATTTAATCAATTATTTTCATAATCTATTATACCCAACTGAAATCCAAATAGGCACTTAATATTTTAATCAATTTGCATGTGCCGTTGAGGTTTTGACTGATTATATCCTCACTTGAGACTTGATTGCAATTCTTCCAATATCTTACTTGCTTAATATATGCCATTTTTGGTTATTCTCTTGTATTTGGCACTTATATGCTGAAAAGACTTGAACAAGCCTACATTCTAGAGCCTAAACCTAACCTTTGTCTCGTTCGTTTACTCACTTGTGGGTTCAAAATATGCATATTATGTGTCTGAAATTTTGTTTTTACAATTAAATGATTATACAAAAGTGACCCGTTAATTATTGTTCATTTAAGCGATGATTGTAAGAACATGTCCAAATTAAAGTGTAAATAAGTCTACAATTATTTCGTTTGGAAGCCAATTTTGTGGAAGAATTTTTTTTTTTTTTTAAAAGACAGAGATATGATGTTGATATACAATGAAAATTTTAAGTAATTTCTATTTTTTTGTAAGCATCCTTATAATTTTGATTTTAACTAACATTGAAAACTTAACTATGTTTCCAACAACACATAATGTATTACTATCATATTTTTCATGTATTACTAATATTTTTCAGAAAACTACATTGCTTTTCATAGATTTTGTTCCTTTCATCTTGAATTGTTGAACCATGACATAATAAATATTCTTGAAGATACTGTATACATATGTGAAAATTATATACTAAAGTTATAATCAGTTGATTGGCCTACGTAGGAGATACTCTAAAAAATAATCATCGACAATATATGAAAATTATATACTTAAGTTATAATAAGTTAGTTAGCCTTATGCCAAGAGGCATTGGAAATTTGACAAAACTTCAACTTCTAGGGCTTAATCACAATAACTTAGAAGGTATTATTTCAGTTAATCATAATTTGCAACATCAATATTAAAATATGACATCCCACCTCACTTGTTCCTTTTAAATTGTAAACTAAAAATAAAAAAATGGATATTAAAGAGTTCTAATAGTTTTTCCAATTTTAATTTAAGTCGACATTAGATGCTATCCTTATATATTGTCATTGTTCATAAAATTTTGTTTCCACAAAATCATTATGTATGAGATCAATTAGTTAGTTATTAAACAGATGTTCCCCTACAAAAACTTGGCGGATTAGTTTATTGTGACATTTATTAGTAGCCAGAAGACTGTGATACACATGAATGCGCAAGATATCTCTACAATCCTTTTTACCCACAGTTGTTTTTTATTGGATTTCTTAAATAACTTAAAACCCAACTAAAGTTCCCACGCGTATATTAATGTCTGCTTATGTGTGATTAATGTATATATGAAATTACATGTGATAGCATCTCTTAGAAGCCATCAGTTTTGAAGGATGATTCCTTGAATTTTATTTTAAATAAAATGGTAATCATTCAAGGGTGATGCACAAACTCAAACTAAACAAAAAATGATAATCCAACCCCTCCGTGAAAAGCAACCCTAGCAACTTATATATAGAATTTCTTTTGTAGTTGCGTTAAAACCACGTAAATTTTTTCAAACAATTACTGCACAATATGTTGCTTATAATTTGCATGTGTTGTTAGACTTGGTAAAAAAGATTCACCATGTATGGACGCTCGTAGGATAAATACGCCTTCTTTTTTGTGTCTTTATCACATATGTGGGAAATATTCTCAATAGATATACCTGTGACCAATTCGAATTCAATATCTTTAAGCGTTAATTCATTTGCAATATTATCACTTTTTTGGTATTTCATTGGTTCTATCAGCAGGGCCATGTGTAACAATAGTCCATTCAGGCTGTCATCTTAGCCCTAAAAAATATTTACTTATATCCTATATAATCGGTCAGTCTTTTTCTTATTAAGCATTAATGTTAATTATATATTTTCATTAATAATTTATTACCTACTTTTATCTTAAATAACCAATACTTAATTTTTTACTAAGCATTAACGTTAATTATATCTCTTCATTAAAAATTTATGGCGCATATATTCTACCACAATCACTTTGTCATTTCATCTCTTCTTTTCTCCCAACCAATCATTTCTTGCTCTACCATTATTTTCTTATTAAAAAAAATATAGCTCTTGCTTAGCCGTTTCCATGGGCACGGCTTGATTGATAACTTGATTTTCCATTTGTCATTATGAAGTCTACAAATCCTTTTATTTGTTCATAGGAGTTTTGCATTTCTATTAAAAGAATAAAGAAATCCAATCATAGATTGCCATATATATTAGGTGTGTTTTTTTCCTCCTTTACCCTTTATTTGTGATTGTTTTAATTTTTATAGAATTTGAACTGGTAAAGTAATAATATATTAGACCTCCAAAATAATTTTTCCTTAGGCCCTAAAACTCCTTCAGATGTCCCTGTCTTTGAGTGTTTGATTTTGAAGGTCGTAGAGGACTGAACCAAGATACAATTCCTAATACAATAGCAGGAATTGGATGGCCCAATCTGTTTAGAAAACCATGAATTTTCTTGTGGTTATGTCATCATTAGTTGCTGTTGGTATCAAATATGTCAAAATTAGAGACCTTGGATTGGAATTCTAATTCTATCCAACGATCAATTCCACTTGAGATTGGAAGATTTCAACGTTTAAAGATTTTACGTTTAGCAAGGAATGATATTTCTGGAAAAATACCTCCAGTTATTTCTGGCTTATCCTCGCTCGAGTTGATGTCATACAACTCCTTAATAGGTGTGTCTTTAATAATATCAGATAAATTCATATATTTCTCTAAATCATTTCAAAAATTTAGTACATGTTAGAATGTCTTGGAATAAGCTATTTACAATATCTTATTCAACAATGATTTTGTTGGAGAGGGGAATAGGATATATATATATATATTGATTATGTTGAGAAGGGGGCAATAAATGAATCTACAAATTATATACAATTTTAATTTTTTGTGATATTGGTAACTCCGTCATAATGCCTTCAACACAACATGGTGTATTAACATCATTTAGTATTCTCTGCACTGCCATGAACAACTATTTTGCATGCTTTTTTTAGTTTTTGTCCTTTTCATTTGGGTTCTTGGAGCCACAATAGAAGATATACTTTTTTAATGGTTTTTAAATTTATATGATTTTTTATACAACATTGTTGTCCATGATCATCTCCATAAAGTTATATTGTATTTCTATGATTTTCTCTAATATATACACAAGCACTCATATAAGTGTTTTTATTTGTCATTGCAATAATGCAGGAGACATTCCAAATGAAATTGCCAATCTTACAAATCTTAAAATTATGTACTTGGCTGATAATTTTTATATATTTTTTTAAATTTTATATGTTTTACTTGGATTTTTATATAATCTGAAAATATATCAAAATATTGCTCCACAAGCCTTTATACACTTTTTCATTCTTTAATATTTCTCTATATATGTTATTGAGCATCCTAGACATTTTTTTAATCCTTCAACATTTTCTTGTATCTTTTAGTAATGTTCAACACAAAACAAGCACAAATTTTTCTGTTTTTGAAAAATAGTTATCTACATTCT